AAATTATCACTATTATTAATAATTTGTCAGACACAAAAACTGAGTTGACACATATGTGACGTAAGAATACAGCTGTTCTGAGAGTGTACAAATTCTACGTTGCCATCTATTGTACTAGAATCTATTTGCCCTTTTATTATCTTTTGTAATATAAATAGGCAAATCAAATCTAATTTTAAGCCTGAATCAGGGCAAATTTTATCCCACGCATAAATGTTTACGACCACTTTGGAATATTTTAATGATTTAAAAGATAAAATATTAATGTTTTATAAGTTTTAAATGAAAATTAATACTTATATTTTTAAAAATGTNCAGTTGAGATGGCCGCCTCAGGGGTTGTTAAAAATTCTACAAAGTTTTTTTCATTATTCAAACGCACAACGAGAAGAAATAAAAAATCGGCGATAAAAGTATTTTTAGTTGGATATAACGAAATTGGATTTACTTTCCTGGAATTTAAAGCATTTGTGCACAAGTCGTGCAATTAGACCTATGTTTACACATAATAATTGTAACTATATACGGTAAAATTTAATGTGATTAGTGTACCTTTATCTTAAACGAAATGTTTTTAAAAATTTAAAGAATTTAAAAAAAAGAAAAATGTATCTTGTTATATCGTATTTGCAGTAACTGTTGGTGTTTAAAATATTACTCATACGATTCACAACAATATTTTAATATTTTCCTCTGCAATTGAAAATTTACATTCTTTAGATAAAAAATTTGAATATTTCCCAAATGTTTGCTCCTGTCAAAAGTTTATATGGGTGCCTTAATCAACAGACCATTTACAGAGGTTTACGTCAAAATTCGTCAACAGTCTATGCCTGTATTTCATACAAATCCGCCTGCAAAAACATTTCCTGAAACCAAAGGCGCAAGTAAAACATTCATAATTCCGATTGAAACCCATACTTATAGCATAGAATATTGGCCCTAAAAGCGTCCAAAAGTAAGGTTCCTCTGATAGATATGCTTCTTTTTATACTACTCTAGGTTATGTAAAGGTTAGAAGAACATAGCTGGACAGAGATTGATGGTGATGGTGTCTCTGTATACAAGTTCTTTACTCCTGGCAATGTGAGTATAAGAAAGGTGAGTACCGGACGTTATAGGACAGTTGGGAGCTAATATTGTCAAAAAATGTAAACAAAGGAATTTTCCTGGGCAGAGTAAAGAAAGCCTGACTGTTGTTAATTTATCATAAACCAGTACCTAAGCAGTCCTAACAGGTCACAGCAAAGTGCGCAAACCATATCCCCCACCTTACATCTAATCACTTTGACTCAATGTATGTAATATTTATCATATATTTTTCATTCATAAAATGTTTTGTCATGTTTGGTATACCACAATATACTAGGTCTAGTAAACCCAGAAAAAGGTGAAAGAATTGATTTGACAGAATTTTCTAGATTTTCCAGTTTAAAAAGATGCTGCATTATGGTAGTCTCTTCAGAGGCTACAATTTAGAAATTAAAAATTATCAAGTGGAAGGCGTCAATTTACACTGCACACTTGCTCTGCCTCATCGGTCTATTTAACGTCATAACTTGAGTCCAAAAGTCGACTTCCTATTCCAGATTTTTCTGGTTATCACTGTTTGAAGAAATTATTTCAAGGGGTTTGTGTTCTGTAAATAGATATTTTTAAAGGGACTGTTCTCGTAATTTTAAGTGACCCTCCATTTATAGAGAGGAATGTCCGATTCACAAGGGTACCCTAGAAATCTTAATCTGTTCCATAATGTGGAAGATAACGTCGTTTTTCTCTAGATTAAAAGGGTTGAAGCAGGAGCCACTTTTGTTGGAAACCAAAATTATAACAATCAGGTTCTAAAAACATATCATGAGGCCAATTAGGGTTGGTTTTACTTAAAATTGTATTCAATTTTTCAAGATTTAACCCGGTACTCAAATTGAAACCGGTTTTCGGGGGATTTGAGACGCGGCTTAAATTCATAAAATTCCGACACTGTACATCTAATAAATATTTGATCAGACTAAGCATGGGTACCGTTGTAAATTAGACGTGGCATTTCATATTTGAAGATCACTTGAAATTACGCCAACACTCCAGGGGTCCACATAATTCCTTTTTCAATCCCATTTGGGATTGACAAATTTGAAAGAAATGGGGGCAAATTTTTTTAAAATGATAATTTAAAAAAAAATTGGGGGCATTTTTATTTAATTGGGGTCATTTTTTTAAATTGAGGGCAAATGTATTAGTGGAATATAAAAATGTTTTTTTAATTAGAGGCATTTTTTACAATTGGGGGCAATTTTTTTCCCAATTTGGGGCAAATGTGTTCGTGGAATTTGAAAATGTTTTTTTAATTGGGGGCATTTTTTTCAAATTGGGGGGAATGGGGGCAAATGTGTTAGTGGTCAGTGGAATTTGAAAATGTTTTTTTTAATTGAGGGCATTTTTTTTACAATTGGTGGTAAAGTTTGGGATCGAGAAAATAAGCTATTTTGGGAATTATATGGACCCCTGCAACACTCCCTTTGATAGTTTTCTAAGAAAATTATAGAGTTTGCATTTTAAAGGTATTGTTTACTAATTTACAAAGTAATGTGGCAGACGACAACACTTGTTAGGGTAAACTTTGTGAACGTGCAACTCTATCAATGGAGGGTGACTTGAAATTACGCTTACATTCAGAGAGTTAAAAGACGGATTTGCAATTATAAATTTCAGAAAACAGGGGAGGTTTATAAGGATGCCAGAGATTTTCCCATTCTCTGTGCCATAGAAAAACAGAGCTAAAAATTAAGAAGAGAGAACTAGAGAGATAGAGAGAGATAAAGAGAGAAGTAGAACGGTTTTGCTATAACCAAAGAGGATTCTGCGATCCGAGGATCCCGGTCTCTCAGTTCAAACCAATCCTTACTCCGGGTCCTGGTTTAGTAGAACGAGGTTTCTCCGGAGACCTGTTGATCTCTCTCCGTTCTTATAGAGTATAATTACCAAAGGACCTGTTGATCTTATTCTAATTCTTCTATCTGAGTAAACTTACCCGTTACCATCAGACCCTAGATTGTTAGAATAGATTGTTTATATTGTTTATGCAGACTATAAAGCTGAAAATTGTAAAACCCCTTGTATATCAATAACTCGTCAAAAAGAAAGGTTAATAAATATGTTTTACTTCTCGGGGTCAATCTGTAAAAAAACAAATCCAACTGATCAGTATCTCGTCATTCTGAATTGTGTATTACTAAGCCAAAACTTAAGACAGGGTATCGTTATGAAAACCAGTTTTAAAACCCGGGTTTGACGAATGGGGTTAGTCAGTTTTGTGGATATCAATATTTTTGTCATGAAATACTATTTTATTTAGTTTCTTTATATTCTCCATTTTTGTCGAATCAAAATCTACAAAATGTTAATTGATCCCAAAAAACACTCGGGAGTTTCGTTCGACGATACTCTTTTAAATTTTGGACTCTGAGCCTGAAATTTAAAAGGGTATCGTTGAACGAAACTTCCGAGTTTCCTTTTTGGGGTCTTATTATTAGTGTAGATTTTGATTTAAGAGATTTGATAAAAATGGTAAGATATAAAGGATTAAATAAAATAATATTTCAAAACAAAAATATCGATATCTACAAAACTGGGTAAACCCATTTGTGAAACCCGGGTTCCAAAACTGGTTTTCATAACGATACCCTGTCTTAAGTTTTGGGCTCAGGTCCTCTATACAAAACACTCCATACAATTGTACTGAGTATAAACAATACTTGCCGGTACTCTTTTTATTCAATGTACTGTATGGACGTAGCTAGTACAGAGTTAAATTCATACTTTGTAATTCAGCTGAAACACTTCGGTACATGATGAAGACAACATGAGCTATCTAGTTTAATTTATCTAATCATCGGACCTACTGATCTCATCCAATACTAACTCACAAGTAGACCTATTGTGTTATCTTTCTTAGTTTCTGAAAACAAAAGAACTGCAAAAAAAGAATTTCTCTTATTATTTACGTCAAATTGATCATCTTTATCTGATTGATCACTATATTCTCTACTTCCATTGTGTTTTTTAAACCCTAACTTTAAAAGTATGAAATATTAATCCGTTCATTGATCAGTGATAAGATTTTTTTATTTATTGAACACTTCTGATTATATTCTTTATTTCTAGAGTACTATATTGATCTTATTCCGTATTTCTAGAGTACTATATTGATCTTATTCCGTATTTCTAGAGTACCATAGATCTTATTCTTTATTTCTAGAGTACCATTGATCTTATTCTTTATTTCTAGAGTAATATTGATCTTATTCTTTATTTCTAGAGTACTATTGATCTTATTCTTTATTTCTAGAGTAATATTGATCTTATTCTTTATTTCTAGAGTACTATATTGATCTTATTCCGTATTTCTAGAGTAATATTGATCTTATTCTTTATTTCTAGAGTACTATTGATCTTATTCTATATTTCTAGAGTAATATTGATTGTATTCGTCTTTCTAGAGTACTATATTAATCTTATGTTATATTTCCAGAGTACTATTGATTGTATTCGTTATTCTATATTTCTAGAACACTTCTGACTCTAATCTTTATTTCTAGAGTACTGTATTGATTTTATTCTATATTTCTAGAACAATTCTGATTATATTCGTTATTTCTAGAGTACTATATTGATCTTATTACTATATTTCAAGAGTACTATTGATTTTATTAGTTATTTCTAGAGTACTGTATATTTCTAGATTACTATATTGATCTTATTCTATATTTCTAGAGTACTTTATTGATCTTATGTTATATATCTAGAGTACTAAATTGATCTTATTCTATATTTCTAGAGTACTATATTGATTATATTCTATATTTCTAGAGTACTATTGATTATATTCTATTCTATATTCTTATTCTATATATATTGAGTGCATGCTACTGATCTTATTGTTTTTTTAAAATTTTTTCCTTATTTCTCAAATTTAGAAATCGAATTTGTATTTTCATACATTAAAGATTGAAACCTTTGCAAAGAAGATTTAAAGATAAACTTGTAAATATTGGGAAAGAAATATAAATTTGCTAAACCGTAAAGAGAAAAGACTGAGGAAATGGAATCGGAAAATATTAGAATATTGAATGATATTAATGTATTTTCGCTAATTATTGTTTGATTTATCATCTTTTAAAAGTGAATAAGAATAATATTTATTAATTTTTGATATTATAAACACAATGAAGTTTATCTTCCCACTCGAAGATCGAAACTAGAGAAGATGGATTTTATAGAAATCTGTCATGAAGTGTAAAACCAATTATTGTCTAAATACATACCGCTCGGATAAATTATTGTCTGAATACATACCGCTCGGATAAATTATTGTCTGAATACATACCGCTCGGATAAATTATTGTCTGAATACATACCGCTCGGATAAATTATTGTCTGAATACATACCGCTCGGATAAATTATTGTCTGAATACATACCGCTCGGATACAAACTTGCGCTTCATAAAAATGAGAACTCTAAACGGAATGGAATAGAATCTAATCTTCAATGATTTGTAATATTTTATATAATTTATAAATTAAAGGTATATTTCTTTATATTTGAACTATATTGAACCGTGAACGGTATTTTTCTTATGTGTCGGTTCAATGTTCTATAAACAATAATTAATCTGTAAGATTTATCCAAAAAGTATATCATATCATATTAGATTATATCCGAACTTAAAACGCCAAAGTACGCACATATTTATCGAAAAACCTAGTATTATCTTAGCAATATACAATTTTTCTAATTTATTTGTTCTATTTAAATTGTTTTATTAGTCCCGGAAATTGCAATTTAGAGATAAAGACGATCCAATATGATGTGGGACACCCTGTAGGTGAATTATTTCTTTAATGGGACTGTAAGCGTAATTGTAAGTGACCGTGTCCGTCCATACAAAGACGGCAATGCCCGATTCACAACGGTGCCATTGAATTAATAATGTAGAAGATATTGTCGTTTTCTATACTGCATTTACACCGGCCAAAACCAGACTTTCGCTGATTTAAAAAAGGCAGAATATTCTGATTTATTTCTCTAAAAAGAATTACTTCGTAGATTTTCATACTGTACAAAATATACTGCATGAAGTACGGTGGTTAACATTCTTATAAAGGAAGGAACGGTTCTGTTCTAAGGTATTAAGGGTCATTTAACAGTATATCGAGAAGGCACTCTCTCTTTAATTTTTTGCTGGAAATAAAATTTTTTTTTACTTTTGTAAAAAGCAAGTCTTTTTACACTAAATAAATAATTATATCTGCTTTAATAATAAAAAAATGGTGTTTGCTATATCAAACTACCAAAGTGAATGTATTTACTTTTACTTTTCCGTTAGATTACATTTTCTGGAAATTACCAGGCGTGTGCCCCCCCCCCTCCTCTTCTGGCTTGTAGGGCCTTGAATGTTTAGAAGATAATTGAATGTAAGAATGGATTGGTTTATTTCCAAGCAGTCCTAACATTATCTAATCAAATAGGGGATTACTAAACGGGAACCTTACTTTACTTAATTTAGACAGTTGCCTAACGGAGTTACGCGCACTTGCCGCGTTGAATTACAAGAAAGAGAGATAATTATATATTTTAGGGTTAGGGTTGGCTAAGACAATTTTGGGGCCGATAGCTGTGGCTAGGACAGGCTAGGGGGCCGAGCGCCGCGGCTAGAGCAGGCTAAGGGGCTAAGTGCTGCAACTAGAATGGGCTCTCTCTGTCTTGTAATTCAACGCGGCATGCGCGCGTAACTCCTTTGGGCTTCTGGCCTTTATTTTAAAAGTAAATACGGGGTTACCCAGAAAGGATGAGACTGTAACGAGGACCTGAAACTCTTGAAATATGACGATCTCAAAATACTTGGACAAAAAAAGAAAAAACGTATACAGTTGCAGGTCACCATAAATATAAGCAAACAGACAAGTGTCATTCCGTACTGTCGTCTATGAAGAATCACCCTTTGTGGCTAGCCCTGTATATTCACTGTGCACTTGACAGAAACATAATTATAGTTAGTTCTTTTAGTTTTATCCCTGAAAGAAAAATGCAAAATTGATATTTTTGTCAATAGTTTATGTGTATAAAGAAAATCTTTAATATTTTTTGAGAAATTTTGGTTGAAGAGATTAAAATTTTGAAAATGTTGGAATTTTAGCAATATATTTCACTAATGGTTAAGTGGGAGAGATGGTTGCTACAGATTGTATAATAAATAATTCAAACTTCAAGTTTTTTTTTTAAATTTTAAAATGTAAAATATTGGAAATATTGAATTTTAAATCTGTATCTAGGATAGAATGGAATACTGGAGCTGGGAGTGTGTTATCCTTGTGGTAAACCATTTTTTCATTCTCAGCAAAAAAGTTATTTTAAAACAAATCTTCACAGATTAGGTTTTTGAGTTAATAAATAAATAAATGAAGGTTTGTAAAATTAGGGAAATACTGAAATAGGAAGACGCTATTAAAGAAATACTGAATACTGAGTGAATTTGATGTTGTTACAGAGCAAAGAAATTTACTAGTAAGCTATTCTTACGTTCCTGTTCCAGGCTTTTCTAGTTATCACTGTACATAACAACATTAATTAACAAAGACTTAAAAGTTGTAAATTCTTAGGTTTCAGAGATGATACTTGCTTTGGTCGGAATAGTTCTTAATCTGATAGTTGTGAGTACTGTGAGAAACCAGGAGAGTCTCCAGGTAAAGGATAAATATAGGGTGTAGTCTCCAGGTACCAGGATATATACAGGGTATAGTCTCCAGGTAAAGGATATATACAGGGTGTAGTCTCCAGGTACTGGGATATATACAGGGTGTAGTCTCCAGGTACCAGGATATATATAGGGTGAAGTCTCCAGTTACCAGGATATATATACAGGGTGTAGTATCCAGGTACCAGGATATATCAGGATATATCAGGGTATATCAGGATGCATCAGGATATATTTAGTTAGAAATTTTCTTTTTTCTTTATGAATAATTATAATTATTAAGGAAATCTTAAGTGATTGACGAAAATAATAATAATACATTTTAGGCTCACATGCACACTTTACTCATCGGTAACATAGCTTTCTCCAACCTTCTGGTTTCTTTTCTCGCCAAGCCGATCTCCGCAATTTATCTCAGCTACGCTTTCTCCATCAGAGAGTGGCAGGTCAGCACGTTCCGGCGGATTTTTGGCGGAAGAGAATGGGAAAACTTTGAGTAACTAAAAGAACCAATTACAACATTTTTTATCTTCTTATACATCTCGAAAATGCTCTAAAATGTTATTATAGTTTTGTTCTGAAGTTTTAATTTGTTTTCTTGAAACCTTTCCAAACCAGACAGCTTTCTTTGGAAGATCAGAAATAATTTTTTTTTTTTACAAAATAAAGTGATTTGGAGTCCACAAGCTGCTTAAATGGAGCGCATATTAAAGGCACTTAGACGTAAATTCAACTTCGTTTAAAGAACAATAGTCCCGAGTAAATACGGAACCCTTCAAACCTTAACAAGCGTAACGATGAGAATGAAATCGTCAGTTAGTTACCTGGAAAAGAGTTAAATTATGTCATTTCCTTCAATTCTTTCCTGCACGAATCCGCAAGTATTTTTTGAAGAAAACGCAATTCAAAATTATAAATTATGAGATAGAAAAACAAGGATATTGCCTTAAAAAAAATAAGCTTAAGTATCATTTATTTTTAGTCTTGATTTATTCTAGACCAATGTAATAATGTGTCTCTCCGACTTATAATCATGAAAAGGAGCCTAATACAAATTATTGAGTCATCTTATATCCCCTTTTCTTAGGACACTAGGTTAATAAACGTACTTTTTGCTTTATTCGACCATACAAATTTTGCTGCAAGCTGATTTTGTTTCTACAAACAGATGCATATGGCTTAAGATTAAGAATAATCTATAAATGCAAAAGTAGAAAAAGAATATTCTTTGTCTTTTTACTAAACGAATTGTCAGATTACTGTCCAACTCTGATTGATTGATGCGACCTGGAATGTGTAAACCATAAGAAAGATGCAGATGAAGAAACCTAAACTGAAAACTCCCCACAAACTCTAAATATCAAATCCCTATATCTAAGCAACCTGGTGGTGTAAATATTTTAAACTCATTTAACAGAATTTATAGTTTAAAATATCAAAGACCTATCTATATCATATTGCCAAGATAAAGGTATTAGCAAGAAATTGAGGCTTGCCACAAACTCAGATTTTCAAATCTCTATATCCTTGCAACCTCATGTCATAAACTAGAAAATTTGAGTTTGCGGCAAAGACTGAATTTCTTTCTTATCCCTTTATCTTGGCAACATGCTGTAGATAGTTATTTGATATTTTAAACAATACATTTTGCTAGATGAGATGATATAGTTAAAGTTTGACAGATTTATACCATCAGTTGCAAAGATAAAGGGATTTAATGATTAGAGTGTTCCGTTTCTTTTATTCTTACATCTATACATATATTTTGCTTTTCTGTCTGTTTGTTTGTATCCAATAAACGTCCTAACAGCTGAACCGATCGGGCCCATATTTTTTGTGGGACCTCGCGTGACCCCAGGGAAGGTTTTTGGAAAATCGAATTTTCAAAAATTGCCTCCGTCAAAATTCTATTATTGAAAATTTTGAAAATACACGAAATTTTTTTAAGAAATCCGCCAAATTTTTGTTTGTTTTTGTATTACATTGTACACAAAGAGAACATGTTCACAATGAAAATGGAAGATGGGGGCGATGCGCCCTAATTGCCTAGTATATTAAATAAACATTGTAATTTTTCATTGTTAACTTTTCTTCAGGCGTCATTTTCATTGTTCATATTCCAATACATATTTCAGTGAAAACATTTTTTGCTGTTGTTACATAATGAAGTAATAAGTACCCTTTTCCTCTAGTGTTTACTGAGATGGAAAAAATGCGCAATAATTTTAATGTTCTCAGAGCTGGGAACTTTTGAATGGTGGATATCGGGATTAATGCTTAATCCTCTCTTTTTGCTAATCTCGAGACTAACATAATCTCGAGATTAAATATGTAGATCAACAAATTTGATTCTAGGAACGCCAGATTTGTTGGTTTTCTTGACTGGAAGGGCCTTCACTTAATTTTTCACCCATTTTCTTATTAAAACATTAGTTAAAATTGGTTAAAAAAGAATCTCAAACGTATTATTAAATATTTTTCTTCACTGATTAATTTTCAAAATGGCCGACAGCATATTCTTTATTTGTTAGAAATCGCGGATTTCTCTCATGGGATAGAAATCATTTTTAAGGCTGTCTTTGGTCAATACAATTTACGAACTATATTTCCTGCACTCTCATTGGAGAAAAAAATGTATGGATATACAAAGAGATATGAATGCAAGCTCTGCTCGCATTCATCAACTTTACCTCGGCGGTCAAACATCTGATATACTCCTCTATTTATCAAAACTGCTTATTCAGCTTTATTAAACAATCCATAGAATCAAATGCTTTACTGTATTCCAAACATTGAGAAATATATTTTCAAAGGAACTGAGTTTTTGCCACAAACTAAAAATTTATAATTCATATATCTTTACAACCTCATTGTTCAAACCATTGATATTTTAAACTTAGAAAATTTGATCTAACATAAATCATAGTTTGAAATATTAAAGGTCTGCAATTATGTGTTTAAAATATATAGGGTTTAGAAAATCAGAGCTTTTGGCAAAAACTTAATTGCTTTCCGAATTTAGAATTTAAGTATCATATTCCAAAACCGTTGAACGGACTTGGAAAGATTTTGTATTGAATCACAAACTGGAAGGTTTTGTATTGACTCACAAACTGGAAGATTTTGTATTGACCAACAAATTAGAAGGTTCTGTAAGGACCAACAAACGGAAAGGTTTTGTATGGACCAAAAAACTGGAATGTTCTATATGGACCAACAAACTGGAAGGTTTTATATCGACCAACAAACTGGAAGGTTTTATATGGACCAACAAATTAGAAGGTTCTGTAAGGACCAACAAACGGAAAGGTTTTGTATGGACCAACAAACTGAAAGGTTTTGTGTTTTGTATGGACCAAAAAAATGGAAGATTTCAAAGTTCAAATTAGTTTTGAAAACTTTGATGGATGGATTTGAATTAGATGTCGCTAGTTAAACTGTTGCGACAATATAAATATCTGTAAGTAAATACACGTACAATAATTGCACAATGTATGTAAAATGTTTTAGGTTGGATTAGCGTTCTGTACGTTGTACACACTAACTTATCACACGACGTGGGTGGTCATTCCTCTTTCTATTCTCACTCTTTCATGGTTAGGTAGGTACCATTCATCTTTTATCTGCCCTAGGCTGAAAGCTTAAGTTGTCACTTGTCAGCTGTTTCACTTGTAAATGGTGATATCAACGCGACGATAGAAATAGGAACTAATTATTAAGATATTTTTAAGTTCTTTACAACACAAAGGACACAAAGTAAACACAATTCCTTATCAACAACGTACTAGTGATAACATTTCTGGATATCTTAATGTAAACCAAGATATGTACACTCAAGGTGGGGGGGGGGGAGTATTTGTGTACACATTTCACGTATTAGGAGCGCTGATATTGCCATAGTTTTGTTAAAACAATAAACAAAGTTCGGAACTTTGCTGAACATGGTAGGACGTGTAGGAAGGGTAGGTAGGAAGGGTAGGAAGGGTAGGAAGGGTAGGAAGGGTAGGAAGGAAGGTTAGGAAGGGTAGGAAGGTAGGAAGGGTAGGAAGGGTAGGAAGGGTTGGAAGGGTAGGAAGGGTTCGAAGGGTAGGAAGGGTTGGAAGGGTAGGAAGGGTAGAAAGGGTAGGAAGGGTAGGAAGGGTAGAAAGGGTAGGAAGGGTAGGAAGGGTAGGAAGGGTGGAAAGGGTAGGAAGGGTAGGAAGGGTAGGAAGGGTAGGTAGGGTAGGGAGGCCTTCGGCTTCAAAATTTGTTTACCTTAAACCAAGTATTTCCTAATGTATGTCGCAGTAAAATGTACACAAACCCTATCTTTTCCCCTCCCCCTTCAGTACACATACTTGATGTAAACAAACATAAAATGTGAATAGATTAATTTTGTCCACAGTAAACATAATGTTGCTATTGTATTTATATAAGGTAATTTAACAACACTCACTAAGCTAGGGAATGCGAAAAGTTTGTTTTGTTGTATAGGTTTAAAGGTTTTCATATATAATTATAATGTATTGTATTATATTGTGTTGTATTATATATAATGTTCTGTATCATAAGAATAAATAAATGTATTTATTGTAATGTGTGCTTTGTGTTGTATAATACAAATATGAATGAATAGTATTGTAATGCATAACATGAATGTAATGTATGTTGTGTATTGTATAATATGAATATATATATATGTATTGTATTGTATCGTGTGGTGTATATTGTATAATATATAAATGTATTTTATAATATGAATTTATAAATGTATTGTATTGTATTGTATAAATGAAAGCTAGATATACCTGAGAGTGGTTTATGAAGTTTATCTAGATTATACAAACAGAAAATAATAAACTTCTGAACAAATTCCACTAATTCTAAATTCTACAGTACTGTACAATCAAAATTGTACTGAACTGTAGAATAGTACAATCGCCAAGTGAAACTAAAGGTCCTAATCAAAAGTATAGACAGTCCTAACTTTAGCACACATTTTTACCCAATAAATATGCAATTTAGTTAATTGTAAATTTACATTTTTTTATGAGCTGATCTTTTACGCCTTTTTGATGATTTTGAATGAAAGTTGAAAATTGTTCAATAGGATGCACTTCGTTGCAGTTTTACGTAACGATAGAATGCACTTCGTTGTAGTTTTACGTAACGATAGGATGCACTTCGTTGTAGTTTTACGTAACGATAGGATGCACTTCGTTGCAGTTTTACGTAACGATAGGATCACTTCGTTGCAGTTTTACGTAACGATAGGATGCACTTCGTTGTAATTTTACGTAACGATAGGATGCACTTCGTTGTAGTTTTACGTAACGCTAACTGGAGTTTATCCCAGCAACTATAACAGAAAACTAACAAACAAAAAAATCACCATCTGCTTACATCTTTTAAGAACTTCAAAATCATTTTGAGGAATCTTAAAAAACATAAATTTGCCATGAAATAATTTGAAAATTTATAAAAATTCAAATAAAATTTTAACCTAGCTCTTTGAGATCTATTACATAATTGAATAACGTGACATTTACTTTAACTAGGCTCCTAGGGAGTTTCGCGCCCATGTTCTATTTCAACTTTTAATTGTTGCTCTATCTGTGAGCATTTTTACTTTGTACTATATCAAACAATAACAAAAAAAGTTCACGGATTTAGTAATATCTTTTCGTGCATTTTCAAAATTTAACAAAAATCAAACACTTTTGGACACACATTTTTGTAATTTTGAGCATCCATAAACCTTCTCTAGAGTCATGTTAGGTTTAACACAAAAGTTGGGCCCGATCAGATCAGCCGATTTGACGTTTATTGGATACAAACTGACAGACAAACAGACACCGAGTCGTGTTAAATCTCTTTGTTTGTTTCAGGGATCAGCTCATTGTTCACCAAGGCTCAGTGTTTACGACCTGAAAGTCCAACCTCTGTAATAATAGAGGCTGAAGGAGGTCATGAGGAGAAAACAAGAAGAGTCAGGGAGGTTTTATTATTCCATATCAGCCGCAAAATGTTTGTTTTATGATACCAAAGGAACTGAGTTCTTGCCACAAACTCTGATTTCCTAACCCCTATATCTTTGCAGCTTAAAGATATTTTTAACTTAGATTATTTGAAATATCTAAGTTCATCAACATTGGGTTGGAAGAATATAGGGATTGGAAAATCAGATTTGTGGCAAATACTCATTTCCTTTATCTATAGTCTTTCTTCAAACTTCTGTTATATTGGGTAACCCTAGCCATTATTATTAGACGTCAAATAACTGTTATATTTACTTTTAATATTCATTCGTATCAAATAGATGAAATAGCGATAGCAACACTTCTTTTTCTTGTACTGGCACAACTTTGACCACTGTTTATAGTGCCGTTTTTTGTACATGAATTGTACGGTACTGCACCTAATAATACTGCCCGACCGCCCTCTACCATGCGGAGCAGGTGTACGGTATAGTGCACCTTATCTGAATGAGAGGGAGGTAGTTGAAATAGGTTCGGATGGATCAACTTTTTTTTTTAAATACTTAAATCCTTTAATCCTTTAAATCCCTAAATCTTTGCAGCCTGATCGTGCATGTAAACCTTTGATGTTTCAAACTTATATTATCTAATCTAACAGAATTTATAGTTTCAAAGATTTAAAAATTAATTTCAAAATTAGGTTTTGTGGCAAAGACTCAAATCCTTTAAGTCATACATTCTTACCTAAAACCTAGATTTGGTTTAAACAAGATAAAATAAACAAGAAAGTTCCGTAAATGTTCGTTTGAAAATAGAAAATAAAACTTGATTTAGAATTTGCATTTCAAACTAAATGAACCAAGGATCGGAAATTAAAACTTGTTCAGAGTAAATTTGTTGTTTAAAACTATGTTAAATTAACTCTGTACTGAACATTCTAAATATTACTTATTTAAATTAAAAACTTTAAGAGAGTCTTAAAAGTTTTAGAAAGTTTGAAAATAGAAATATGAAAAAGTTTACCTAAAAAACTCTAATAATGAAATTTTAAATATAAGTATATAAGGATTGGATAAAAAATTAAATCAAAAAATTTCAAACCCGGAAAATTTCATTTCCTGTTCGGGCAGGGTCAATTGGAACGACTTTTTCTAAAACTCATACCCCCTTAAAGGGACTGTAAAGGAAAAATGAAAGCTAATCACTTTAGCTCTCGATCGAGACCCATGAAAGTTTTATCTGATGTTACTATCTCGAGAAATTGATATAAAACTGTGTTAAAATCATACGAAAGTTCATATATGTATAATTTAAAAAATCTTAAACTTAAATCACGTGACCAGAACTATCACCAATGGCAGAGCAGTATACTGATCACGTGTCTCTGCCTGTATCACGTGACCACTTTACTGCACTGTCATTGGTGGATTTTCTGGTCAAGCAATTCGGACGTGTAAATAATATTATGAATTAAATCTATTAAAAATAGAAATAACAAATATAAAATTAGAATTGGAGTAAACCTAAGTAATAATTAGCTTTCTCGGGGATATTATCGTTTTCAGATTGGTTGCTTATTTGCTGAATTTGATCTATTTAAACCCACTACTTTTATACAAAATTGTATATATATTAATTTTCGTATAATTTTAACACAGTTTTATATCAATTTCTCGAGACAGGAACATCAGATAAAACTTTAATGGGTCGCGATCAAGAGCTAAAGTGATTAGCTTTCAAGAATACTGTCTGAATACCTCTTGTTGTAAATGGCAAATTAATGTGTTTAGGTATAGTGTGAAATTTCTAATTACTCTAACTAGAACAAGTAGAACAAGACTATTTTGCCCATTTGCAAAAAAATAGGGTTGAAGTTAATTTGAAGGATTTAAGCTTTATTGGCGGAGAATATTATTCTAAAACATTTAAATTTTTCTCACCCTGTTATTCCATTCTCATGTTTTCTCACCCTGTTATTCCATTCTCATGTTTTCTCACCCTGTTATTCCATTCCCATGTTTTTAAGCATTTCACAATAATGGTAACAGACCTTTTTTATTTCTTTAAATAAAAACCAACTGCAAAACTTTGCATACAATCTTTTATTCATTTTTATCATTCCAGTTAGCGGCCATACTTTCTGTTAGTTTATTAATCTCTACACATAACATTTTATTCTCGAAAACTTTTTTATTCAATTTTGATTGAATTTGTCACACCTAATATTTCCCGTTGAAGGGTGATTAAGTGACTTCATCGCCCTCCAACAGGGCGAAAAAATTTTTTCACCCTGCTATTAAAATTTAAAAATTTCATACCTAATTTTTCTCATTGTAGGGTGATAAAGTTACTTCACCTTATAACAGGGTGATTAAGTAACTTTATCGACCTGCTTTTAAATAATTTGAGTAAAATTGAATAAAACTATATAAATGTTATTGAAATGGGTATCATGCGTGCGAAAAAGTTTTTGCTGTGATTTTAATTTTTTCTAGTTTATTTTCGATCAAAATAAAAATCCCGGCAAAAACTTTTCCGCACTTAATAACACCCATTACAATGACATGAAAAGCTATAAAAAGAATATATATTTTATTGGTTTTTATCCGAGAATCATAGGGCATAAAAAAGGGAAAAAATTCTATAATTAGCTGGCTAGTCAGGTAACTATAGAATTCTAAAAGCCGGCTTTTAATCCAAGAATCTTTATTTGAAGATGTTTAAAAACAAAATATGTGAATTATAAAGAATAATAAAACCAATTCAAATAGGATTGTACCAACAGCCAGACAAAAGGTATTTTAAAAAATGTATAATTTTTAAATGTAAAAGATTTTATTTTTAAATGTAGTAGATTTTATATAATAACTATATTATTCCACTCCTGAATCTGTAATGTTATAATTTAATATCTTTGATAGTGTTTACCATTGATATTAACTTGATCTAACAGAATTCATAATTTAAAATATTAAAAATGATATAAACTATAGATATATGGATTTGAAAAGTAGAGAATGTGACGAGTAATTAGTTCCTTTAATACCCTCTGAGATTTGAGAAGGAAATTGAGTCTTTGCTACACGCTCAAATTTTCTAATCCCTATATCTTTGGACCCTGATAGTGTAAACCTTTAATATTTGATCTAACAGAGTTCATAGTTTGAAATATCTAAGTTATACAATATTGGGTTGAAAACATCAGGGGTTAAAAATCAGAGTTTGTGGCAAAGACATTTTAAAAATCTAAAAATAAAAAGCAAATAAACTAAATTGAAAACCTTCCGAAATTTTATCTTGTAAGTTTGTGAGGTTGAGACTGGATCTGTCTGGTTGGATAAATTAAGTTTAACTCTGAATCCATCCAACATGAAAAATTAGAATTAATGACCATCTGGCCTTCCAGCTTGCAGCACTCCAATTCTTTAACTTAATTATATTTTCTTTACAACTTTTATAATATATTGATAACAGTTCTGTTGAAATAATAGTGGTGTTAAATTGCACATTTTTATGTTTTTATTTGTTATTTTTCACCCACAATGTTAATTCTAAATGGGATACCAAATTTTTTCATTATCGAACTAAATTTTTTTAGAGAAATTTTGCAATAAGAATGGTATGAAAATATTTCAAAACAGTGATTGTTAAGTTCTCACAAAATTTAACCCTGAGTGTCATTTTATTGCATTATTTGACAAAAAAACATCAGAATTTGTTCGTACTTTGAATTTCCTCAAAAGCAAAAAGAAGTTTGTTTAATTTCTAAAGGAAGCCAACTAAGAATTTCTGGATAATTAAATCTTTAAGAAAAGAAAAAAAAAAAACTAGTTTCACTCAATAACTTTGATTAGAACTGCTTAAGTGGGTTTCCATCATATTTTAAATTTCTCCAAAAATCCTTACAAAATTTCAAAATATCTTTGAAAAATTTTCCTACTGTTTTCTTTATCTTTGGTATTATTTCAAAGCAAGGAAAATTCACATTTGGAACATTTTTCTTTATAGAACAAACCTTCTCCTGCCAACTTTGATTTAAACCTCTTCCATCTTCTATTAATCTCCAATTCATTTCATATTCATCTCCCGTCATCTCCTATTAATCTCCTATTCATCTCCTTTTTATCTCATTTTCATCTTATATTCATCTCATATTCATCTTCTATTCATCTCATTTTTATCTCATATTCATCTTATATTCATTTCATATTCATCTCATATTCATCTCCCCTACATCTCAAATTAATCTCCTATTCATCTCCTTTTTATCTCATATTCATCTTATATTCATCTCATATTCATCTCCTACTCATTTCATATTCATCTCCTATTCATCTCCCATACATCTCCTATTAATCTCCTATTCATCTCCTTTTTATCTCATATTCATCTTATATTCATCTCATATTCATCTCCCATTCATCTCCTATTCATCTCTTAATCATCTCCTTTTAATCTCATATTCATCTTACATTCATCTCATATTCATCTCTAATTCATATTCTATTCATCTCCTATTCATCTCCTATTTATCTCCTATTCATAACCTATTCATTTCCTATTCATTTCCTATTTATTTCCCATTCATTTTCTATTCATTTCCTATTCATTTCTTATTCATCTCCTATTCATCTCTTATTTATCTCACATTCATCTCACATTCATCTTACATTCATCGCCCATTCATCTCCTATTCATTTTCTATTCATCTAGCTCCTATAAATTTCTCATTCATTTCTGGTTCATTTCATCACCTCTAGTTCCATTGCACTTAAAACCAATCTCTTTCAAGTGTTTCAATCAACTTTCAACAAAGGAATAAAATTATTGTCATTAAAATTTTCAATAAAAATTTGAGGATATCCTTCTATTTCAAGATATCCTTGTATTTCAGGATATCCTTGTATTTCAGGGTATCCTTGTATTTCAGGGTATCCTTGTATTTTCAGGATATCCTTGTATTTCAGGATATTCTTGTATTTTATGATATCCTTGTATTTCAGGGTATCCTTGTATTTCAGGGTATCCTTGTATTTTCAGGATATCCTTGTATTTCAGGATATTCTTGTATTTTATGATATTCTTGTATTTTAGGGTATCCTTGTATTTCAGGGTATCCTTGTATTTCAGGATATCCTTGTATTTCACAGTATCCTTGTATTTCAGGATATCCTTGTATTTCAGGATATCCTTTTATTTCAGAGTATCCTTGTATTTCAGGGTATCCTTGTATTTCAGGGTATCCTTATATTTCAGGGTATCCTTGTATTTCAGGGTATCCTTATATTTCAGGGTATCCTTGTATTTCAGGATATCCTTTTATTTCAGGATATCCTTGTATTTCAGGGTATCCTTGTATTTCAGGGTATCCTTATATTTCAGGGTATCCTTGTATTTCAGGATATCCTTGTATTTCATGGTATCCTTGTATTTCAGGGTATCCTTGTATTTCAGGGTATCCCTATATTTCAGGGCATTCTTGTATTTCAGGGTATCCTTATATTTCAGGGTATCCTTGTATTTCAGGATATCCTTGTATTTCAAGATATTCTTGTATTTCAGGATATCCTTGTATTTCAGGGTATCCTTGTATTTCAGGATATCCTTTTATTTCAGGGTATCCTTGTATTTCAGGGTATCCTTGTATTTCAGGATATCCTTGTATTTCAGGGTATCCTTGTATTTCAGGATATCCTTGTATTTCAGGGTATCCTTGTAAGTATCTGGGTTGTATCTGGATTCTACGGACTAATGGCCTGTTTTCCGGATAAGGTGAAATTCACAGAAGACAATTTTTTTTAAATCTAGATAGATAAAGAACTTCTAACAATTTGTTAAATCTAGATAACTAAAGAACTTCTAACAATTTGTTAAATCTGGATGATAAATAAAGAACTTTTTACAATTTGTTAAATCTAGATAACTAAAGAACTTCTAACAATTTGTTAAATCTGGATGATAAATAAAGAACTTCTGACAACTTGTTAAATCTAGATGCATGATAAATGAAGAACTTCTAATAATTTCTTAAATCTGGATGATAAATAAAGAACTTTTAACAATTTGTTAAATCTAGATTATAAATGAAGAACTTCTAACAATTTGTTAAATCTGGATGATAAATAAAGAACTTCTGACAACTTGTTAAATCTAGATGCATGATAAATGAAGAACTTCTAATAATTTGTTAAATCTGGATGATAAATAAGCAACTTTTAACAATTTGTTAAATCTAGATTATAAATGAAGAACTTCTAACAATTTGTTAAATCTAGATGATAACTAAAGAACTTCTAACAATTTGTTAAATCTGCATGATAAATGAAGAAATTCTAATAAAGTGTTAAATCTGGATGATTAATAAAGAACTTCTAACAATTTGTTAAATCTAGATGCATGATAAATGAAGAACTTCTAATAATTTCTTAAATCTGGATGATAAATAAAGAACTTTTAACAATTTGTTAAATCTAGATTATAAATGAAGAACTTCTAACAATTTGTTAAATCTAGATGATAAATGAAGAACTCTTCACAATTTGTTAAATCTAGATGATAAATGAAGAACTTTTAACAATTTGTTAAATCTAGATAATAAATGAAGAACTTTTAACAATTTGTTAAATCTAGATGATAAATGAAGAACTTCTAACAACTGCTTCTCCAACTCTATCTTCAAACTCGGTTTACATTCAGGAAATTGGGAACATTCTCTATTTAATAAATTAGAGTTAATATACAGGGTGTCCCACATCACATTAAATTAGAGTTTATTTACAGGGTGTCCCACATTACATTAAATTAGAGTTAATATACAGAGTGTCCCACGTCAAATTAGATAGTTGATCAGTTTAAATTGGGATATTTGGGATGAAACAGCCAACATTTGAAAATTTAATCATTTACAACCCGGTGTGGTAGACATACAATATTTCAAGTTTGAAATATCGCCAATCACCATGATCTCGATGTTTCTGCATGGCTCCAGGTGGGAGAAACACCTAGCGGGGAAAAAAATATTCGTTTAAATTGCACTGTACATAAAACAAATAAAAAATATTATGAAATATCAACTATATATAGCTGAATGATTTGTTGTAATTAAATTGATTTTTTTACAATCTCAGCCGAATATTTAAACTGAATTTGTATGGACACTACGTTCTTCGGTATGAGTGGTTAACAATTTTCTCCTTATAGACGCAACAGATAGAAGTAAGATTAGTAGCGATCACTATCGATTATTTTTATACGTATACTCCCTTTAAGAACATAAATTTTGCATGTAGAATGAACCTAAACCTGGAACCAAGGATGAGGTTGGATTTTCCTCTACTCTACCTGGTTCCGGAGTATCCTCTGTTCTGCCTGGTACCAGGAGACCCCGGAATCCTGATCTATCCTACTGTCCTATTCTCACATTCGAGGAACATCATAAACTTAATAAGAATATTGAAATTCCTTATGAATGTCCAAATAAACCTACCTATAATGAATATACATATATATCTGCCTATTATGAATGTCGAAATAAATCTACCTATAATGAATGTCCAAATAAATCTACCTATTATGAATGTCCAAATAAATCTACCTATAATGAATGTCCAAATAAACCTACCTATAATGAATGTCCAAATAAATCTACCTATAATGAATGTCTAAATAAATCTACCCATAATGAATGTCCAAATAAATCTACCTATAATGAATGTCCAAATAAATCTACCTATAATGAATATCCAAATAAATCTACCTATAATGAATATACATATAAATGTACCTATAATAAATGTACATATAAATCTACCTATAATAAATAAATCTACCTATAATGAATGTCCAAATAAATCTACCTATAATGAATATCCAAATAAATCTACCTATAATGAATATACATATAAATGTACCTATAATAAATGTACATATAAATCTACCTATAATGAATGTACATATAAATCTACCTATAATGAATGTCCAAATAAATCTGCCTATAATGAATGTCCACATGAATCTACCTATAATGAATGTCGCAAGCTAATTCTAAGGTCAAAGATGACTTTAAATTATTCCGGGTTATTTAGAATATTATAGTATAAACAGTATGAATTTTATAAACGAAATCATCAATTACTTGTATTGTTTATTTGAATTGTTATTACGGTTTTATACCTACGTAACGACTAATGACACATAATAAAACTAAATTTCCTCTCTCTCTCTAAATTTGTTCTCAGCTTAAAAAATATAGTTAAGTTTATGGTTTAACTGTAAAGGATAATGTACTCACCTCAATTCAACTCTATCTGTCTCTTTATATTCCAGCTCTGGCAGGTATATATTTCAGTGACGGGTGGGCTCGTTAATTCTTTTTAGTCCGTTTGTTAATAGTTAAAACGGTACCCGTTAGTTTTTTACTAAAATCTTGACGGTCTTTTCCGTTTTTTAATAACTTTATCATATCCTTTTATCATCCAATGAAAACTATATGATTTCATAGGAAATGACGTTTGCCACAAATTCAAATGTACTTTTCCATATATCTCTGCAACCTGCTGGTGCAAGAATAAAAATTAATGAATTCTCCGTTCTTCTTTTAATTATCGGTACTATTCTAGATTATCAACCTAAATCCTATAAAATTAGTTTCAGGTTAATTTCTTAAGGATGGATGCAAACTTTCTCCCTCTTTTCAGGTCCAATTCTCCAGGAGGAATACGAGTTACGGGCGGGTCATATTCTCTTGGACAGATTTATAATTTCTCCATGTTTCAGGTCCTGATGTTCTCTATGACAGATTTATACCTTCTCAATGTTTTAGGTCCTGTTCTCTAGGGTAGATTTATACCTTCTCCATGTTTCAGGTCCTGTTCTCTAGGGTAGATTTATACCTTCTCCATGTTTCAGGTCCTGTTCTCATGGGTAGATTTATACCTTCTCCATGTTTCAGGTCCTGATGTTCTCTAGGGTAGATTTATACCTTCTCCATGTTTCAGGTCCTATTCTCTAGGACAGATTGATACTTTCTCCATGTTTTAGGTCCTGTTATCTAGAACAGAGTTATACCTTCTCAATGTTTCAGGTCCTATTCTCTAGAACAGAGTTATACCTTCTCAATGTTTCAGGTCCTGTTCTCTAGGACAGATTTATACCTTCTCTATGTTTTAGGTCCTGTTCTCTAGGACGAATTCACATCTTCTCCATGTTTCAGGTCCTGTTCTCTAGGACGAATTTACACCTTCTCCATGTTTAAAGTCCTGTTCTCTAGGACGAATTCACACCTTCTACATATTTAAGGTCCTGTTCTCAAAGATGGATCCAAACCTTCTTCATATTTTTAAGGTTCTGTTTTCTAGGACGGATCCACACCTTCTCCATGTTTCAGGTCCTGTTCTCTAAGATGGACCCAAACCTTTTTCAATTTTAGGTCAAATTTTTCTGGACGAACAATCAGTGTCTCTCTGTTTTAGGCCCAATTCTCTCCTTCCTAGTTCTCGTAGTTCTCTGTCCTTTTCTATGTGTTTCAACCTTCAGGAAATAAACTGGATAGTCTCAATGATTGTAAGGATTGTGTGGATTGTATACACAATCGAATATAGATTTCGGGAACATCTAGTGTTTTCAAAGTTCTATTTCCAACATTTAAGAAAAAAAATATTTTCTTTTCTTTGAAAAGATTTATTGCAAATACATAAATCAGGATAAAACTAAACATGTTAAAAGTTTTATTTTACACTTTTTCAAGATTTACCACTTTTTTATAAAATCAAGTAATCTGGCAAATTTTTATTTTCATGTATTATTGAACAGACGAGAACCAGGGATGGACCATCCAGCGATATCTTGGACCAATGGACCAGGTATATTTGATTCATAAATAGACCAGGTACACTGCAAACCAAGGGACCAGGTATATTTGATTCATAAATAGACCAGGTACACTGCAAACCAAGATGTTCACTTGGACCAACGGACCAGGTCCACTGCAAACTAAGATGTTTACGTTCTCACGCAAATATCAATCAGTAATTTACCAATAACTCCTTTTAAACCTAAGCTTGAAGCAATCACGTTGCATTTTTAAAAATGTAAATGGGAATGGTTTCAAATTGTATAATGAGTATTTTGTTATATCTTAAATTTACATTAATTTCGGGAGAGTTTTCTTTTTTAATTTTTGAAATTATTTTTTATATCTTAAAGGAACTGAGCTTTTACCACACATTCTGATTTCCTTATCCCTATATCTTTGCATTTCAATGTTGAAGACCTTTGATATTTCAAACTATAAATTCTGTTAGATCAAATAATTTAAGTTTGAAATTTTAATGGTTTACACTATCAGGTTGGAAAGATATAGGAAATAGAAAATTTGAGTTTGTGGCAAAAACTCAGTTCCATTTACATTCATTACTGAAGAGATATTCTCCAAGTTAAATGAAACTGCAGGAAGGATGAAAGTTAGATAATTAATTTCCAAAATTTACATTACTATACAACAGCTACAAATGGTTTAGAGTTGAATTAATTAATTGTTTTTATAATTATATCAGTATGAATTCAATATAACTAATTATAACACTGTTATTTGGGTTCGCAGTGTTGTAAAGTTTTTGGACAGAAATTTTCTCTTTATCAAAAAGGCGAGAAACTTCGAGATATAGAGAAAATTTAAGTCCAAAAACTTTATAGCACGTCGTGCCAAAATAATAGTGTTATGGTTAATTTTTTTGAAACGTTTGTGTACTTGTTTTTTATTTCAATGGCTATTTCTATAGAACAAATAAGCTTTGAAAAAAGCAGAAGTAAAAAATAAAGTTGATTTTAATTTTATTTTCATTTAAATTGAAAAAAATTATTTTGGAAATATCCTATTTTTTTTGGAGAAAATCCGGGAACCAATCAAAACTTTATAACACACGTGCTATAATGTACAGCTGATTTAACTTTATAGCACGATGATTACTTTATAGCGCGATGATTACTTTATAGCACGATGATTACTTTATAGCACGATGATTACTTTATATAGCACTTTTATTATAAAACTCACGATGATGTGAGTAAGAATGATAAAATACACATTAGTTTCATAAAAATCTATAAGAAAGGTAATATATTTTTAATTTAAAATCAAAATGTCTTCTAAAACATAAAGCAGTTCATTGATAATTTAAATCGATAGAGTTTTTGACTGTAATAACGAAAAGAAGTTTACAAATCAAATATAAAAAAAGCATAAGTACTACCAGTAAGCTTATAGTATGGTATTGTAAGAATTAGTCACAAATTTTGTTGATGTTCTAAACGAATCTTAAATAAAGGATAATGTCAGTTCTGTTTTTAAGACCAAAAATAAACGTTATTTTTTAATTAAATCAAACCATGTAAACTTGAGAGACGTTGTAAAAATTCGTATTTTTATAAAGGAATTGAGTTTTTGTCACAAACTCTATATATTTGCATTTCAATGTCGGAGACCTTAGATATTTCAAACTTTAAATTGTTTTAGATCAAATAATGATAGTTTGAAATATCAAAGGTTAACACAATCAGGTTGCGAAGATATAGCGATTTGAAAATCAGAATTTGTGGCTAAAACTCAGTTCCTTTCTCAAATCATTACAAGTTTATATTGTTCTTTAAATTATTTTCTTTGTTTTCTGTTATATCACGTACCATAAAACAGTAATGAAAGATAACTTTTCCCATAAAATAATATAGAACTTTATTGCTTTGAAAGTAAACCATTATTAAAGGAAGTCTTTTATTTAGTATTATCTCAAGTTCTGAAGGCAATCCTAACAAAAACTATATTGTTCTAATAAACCTTGAATTGGAAGTTTATAAAACGTTTCTTTAAAAAGTAATCTTGATAGGAAGATATATCCCCAAATACGTAGATCAGGCCGACTTTAAAGAGTTGTCAGGTCTTTAAACTTGCTGACACTTTTTGTACCAGATAAAACAATTCCAAAACTTAAGAGTAATTACTTTTATGGGAGTAATTGTTGAAATCTTGACAAAGATATTGAGTCTTTGTTGCAAACTCACATGTTCTAATTCCTATATCTTTGCAACCTAGATATATTATTTCAAATATTGATGATTTAATCTAACAGAATTCAAAGTTTGAAATATCTACGTTCTATACAACATTCGGTCGCAAAGATGTAGGGATTAGAAAATTAGAGTCAGTGAAAAAGACTCAATTCCTATATACGTATAGAATATAAATAATGAAGTAATACTTATCATTAAATGTCTTCTACGCTTAGGTGGCCCCTGCTCCTGTATCCTGACCCCCCTTCTCTCCCTGATCTATATATTCTCCTACTCCACCCATATGCTTTACTCGGATAACTCAGATCTACCGATTATGGAGAAACTTCTTCTTAAATATCAGGTTTATAATATCCTTTTTCTCAAATATCAGGTTTATAATATCCTTCTTCTCAAATATCAGGTTTATAATATCCTTCTTCTCAAATATCAGGTTTTTAATATCCTTCTTCTCAAATATAAGGTTTATAATCTCCTTCTTCTTAAATATCAGGTTTATAATATCCTTCTTATCAAATATCACGTTTATAATATCCTTCTTATCAAATATCAGATTTATAATATCCTTCTTCTTCAGGTTTATAGTATCCTTCTTCTTAAATATCAGGTTTATAATATCCTTCTTATCAAATATCAGGTTTATAATATCCTTCTTATCAAATATCAGGTTTATAATATCCTTCTTCTAAAAAATCAGGTTTATAATCTCCTTCTTCTCAAATATCAGGTTTATAATATCCTTCTTCTTAAATATCGGGTTTATAATCTCCTTCTTCTCAAATATCAGGTTTATAATATCCTTCTTCTCAAATATCAGGTTTATAATCTCCTTTTTCTCAAATATCAGGTTTATAATATCCTTCTTCTTAAATATCAGGTTTATAATCTCCTTCTTCTCAAATATTAGGTTTATAATATCCTTCTTCTCAAATATCAGGTTTATAATATCCTTCTTATCAAATATCAGGTTTATAATATCCTTCTTCTCAAATATAAGGTCTATAACATCCTTCTTCTCAAATATAAGGTTTATAATATCCTTCTTCTGAAATATCAGGTTTATAATATCCTTCTTCTCAAATATAAGGTCCATAATATCCTTCTTCTCAAATATCAGGTTTATAATCTCATTCTCAAATATAAGGTCTATAAGAGGGGCACAGGGAAAAAAAGAGTTGTGACAATTTTTGACCATAACATTTTTTTCTTTAATAGTTTCGGTACTTTCCTTTTCGTGACAATCATAAAATATTTTCCATTTTTTTGTTTTTGTATTAAAGCTCTCTTGCCCGACCTGCCTATCTCCTGTGTAAATAGGATAAAGAATGTATGAGCATGAGAAAGAATAAATTATTTTTCAATATTTGCTATTTTTCAGGTTGGGTTCTGCCATATTGTTCTCTTCCCTCTACTCTCAGGAACTAGGATTTTTCAAATATTTAGTCTTATTTACTCTAAGAAGTCTCCAGGTACTCCAGGTACTTCAGGTAATCTAGGTGCTCCAGGTACTCCAGGTACTCCAGGTGCTCTAGGTACTTCAGGTACTCTAGGTGCTCCAGGTACTCCAAGTTCTCCAAGTTTTCCAGATATCTCAAATATTCAACGTTTTATTTCATTAAGATAGGATTAAAACGTTTGTTCTATGTTTTGTTTTTAATTGTCTCTGAAGTATATTTTACAAGAAAACTATGCACTTGTATGCCTTGTTAATTCTGGTTTGTTCTGTGTTTTGTTTTTTATTGTCTCTGAAGTATATTTTACAAGAAAACTATGCACTAGTATGCCTTATTAATTCTGGTTTGTTCTGTGTTTTGTTTTTAATTGTCTCTGAAGTATATTTTACAAGAAAACTATGCACTTGTATGCCTTATTAATTCTGGTTTGTTCTGTGTTTTGTTTTTTATTGTCTCTGAAGTATATTTTACGAGAAAACTATGCACTAGTATGCCTTGTTAAGTCTGGTTTGGTGCTTGTTGGTGTTATTAGAGTTAAGGTAACTATCATTGTAATTTAATCGAATATCCATTTATAAAAGGGTATCCCGGATTCTCAACGATCTTTAAACATTTAGTATACTCTTGTTTTTCTACCTAATCAAGTTTTAGGATCCTCCATTGTCTCTGTAGCAGAGATATCGTAATTGAAGATAGTCAATTTTACAATTTTAAAGTGAAAAAACATCAATATCTTGTTAATTCTTGATTAAACAAAGCTTTTCAGGGTACTGTTGTCAATCTAGAAATGAAGGGTAATTAAAAATTTCGCCTACTGTCCCTTTAAACCCTGTCTTCTTAAACTGCATTCGGTTAATTAACACGCAAATTCACACTTTGAAGTTTTCATTACGGATTAAAGTTTCCCCTCTTCACTGTTGAACTAAACTTTTAATTCTCTTCAGTCCTGTTTAATGGATCACAATACCCTTGTCATCTTTAAATTACTTGATACAATTTTAAAATGGAAAGCTTGCTTGAAGTTCTACTCTTACCAAAATATTTTTCAATCAACAATATATTTTTTCGACATTGTGTTCGTAGTGGATCGTAGAGTAGAGTCATACTCATGCTTTAATGTCATCAAGAATTCTAAACTTTAGATTATTCTTTAAACAAATCTCAACCCTACTCCATCTAAATCGCATCATTTTAATCTCAATATATTTCATCAGGAGTTCGTCCTATAATATCGCAGATAAGAGCAAAAACTAAAATAATTTTATAAAATAAATAATATCAAACATAAAAGCTTGAATAAACAAAGAAAAAAATAAGAAAATATTGCAACTTCACAATAATTCTAAAACTCTGAAATGAGGCATTTAAATTTAGAATTGACTGAGATATCAGTCTTTTGTTTGATTGATTTGTTTATGATATATTTGTTAGTGAAAGGGACTGTTTTCGTTATATTAAGGGACCCTCCATTAAAAGAGGGGTTAGTTCTATTTACAATCAAACCCTTGAAACCTTAATCTTATATCAAATATGAAAGGTAATACAGCAATCGTGTCAATTTTGTGAAGAATCTACAAAATGAAAATATAAAATTTAAGGAATCGTTTATGCCACTGTACTCCTGGAGGGTCAATTGAAAGTACGTTTACAGTCCCTTTAAGAAGCCTTCTCTCCGATGAGCTTCCATTATTTCTAAATGTTTAATGTCGCTAATTGCCTAGCAGTTTGGCATTGTAAGATCTAGTTCATTAGAACTTTTAATAGCTCTATTTAACTTAATTTCTCCCAGAGCAGATTCAACTAACTTTACACTAATTTCTAGTTTGCGTCCTGATAAAAAACAAACAAAAAATCAAGTCACCCTCCCGATTCACAACGGTACCAATGAAACCTTTATCTGTCAATAATTTAAAAAATATTTTCGTTTTTCGGACACATGAAATTACGGTTACAGTTCCTTAATATAAATCCTGGTTTGAATCCTAGTGTTTCTCCGTGCTGATCTTAGAGCTGGAGTAAAGAGAACTATGCATGGAAAAGTGATCTGTGCTGTAGCGATGGAACCTGATAACCTACACAGTGTTTAAACCTTGAAATATGTAACCTAAACCTGCACAGTGTTTAAACCTTGAAATATAAACCAAAACCTGCACAATGTTTAAACCTTGAAAAATGAACCAAAACTTACACAGTGTTTAAAACTAGAAGTAAGAAAACTAAACCTACACAGTGTTTAAACCTTGAAATATGAACCAAAACTTACACAGTGTTTAAATCTTGAAATATGAACCAAAACCTACACAGTGTTTAAACCTAGAAATATGAAGCCTAAACCTACACAGTGTTTAAACCTAGAAATATGAAACCTACACCTACACAGTGTTTAAACCTTGAAATATGAACCAAAACCTACACAGTGTTTAAACCTAGAAATATGAAACCTAAACCTACATAGTGTTTAAACCTAGAAATATGAAACCTAAACCTACAAAGTGTTTAAATCTTGAAATATGAACCAAAACCTGCACAGTGGTTTAACAAAGAAATATGAAACCTAAACCTACACAGTGTTTAAACCTTGAAATATGAACCTAAACCTACACAATGTTTAAACCTTGAAATATGAAACCTAAACCTGCACAGTGTTTAAACCTAGAAGTAAGAAAACTAAACCTACACTGTGTGTAAACCTTGAAATATGAACCAAAACCTACACAGTGTTTAAACCTTGAAATATAAACCAAAACCTGCACAGTGTTTAAACCTAGAAATATAAACCAAAACCTACACAGTGTTTAAATCTTGAAATATAAACCAAAACCTACACAGTGTTTAAACCTTGAAATATAAACCAAAACCTACACAGTGCTTAAATCTTGAAATATGAACCAAAACCTACACAGTGTTTAAACCTTGAAATATAAACCAAAACCTACACAGTGTTTAAACCTTGAAATATAAACCAAAACCTACACAGTGTTTAAACCTTGAAATATGAACCTAAACTTACACAGTGTTTAAACCTAGAAGTAAGAAACCTAAACCTACACAATGTTTAAACCTTGAAATATGAACCAAAACCTACACAGTGCTTAAACCTAGAAATATGAACCAAAACCTGCACAGTGTTTAAACCTTGAAGTAAGAAAACTAAACCTACAATATGTATCAAAAACCTTTACCATTGTATAAACCATTTAGACCTAGATCTATGGAACCTTGTTTTCTCCTTTTTTCTTTAAATGATAAAAGGTCTCAACTAATCTATTTTTCAAAGTGTCCCGATTATTCGTTGAAATTTATTTCAACAATTGCTCTTTATTTTTTCTACATTGCGATTTATCAATTCGATTAATACTGCAATAAAACAGTAGCAATATAGTTGATGTATCAAATAAACAATTTGTAAAATGAAACACAGTCTTATTCACAATTAGAGCGGAATGTTTGATACTATTTGAAGATCGTCTTTGATCTTTTTGATTAATTTGCAGCATTCGTTTGTCAACCTACTTTTAAACATTGAAAAAAAATCACACTGCCGCTTCCAGAACTTGGATTGCCTTTTTGTGCTTTCAAAATTAAAAGTGAAATATTTCGTTTAGATTAAAACTTTTTAAGATAAAACCAACGGAAATATTCATTTATTTTTTCTAATTATTTCAAAAATTAAAGACAATCTTTAAGTCGTCTCTTCATAATAAAGTAATTCTTCTTTATTTGTGAATATGACTGTATGTAATTAATTGAACTTGTAAGATATAAAAGAAACATAATTTATATATGTATTTATGTGTATTCGTACTGTCTGCGTTCAAAGTCGTTGTTTTAAAAGCAATCGTAAAAATCTTGATGTATCTTTTTCCACATAAAATGTGAGTTTAATAGTTTTTATTTCACTTTAATAGTGTACTTCTTCTTGAAATAAATCCCAACAGATTCAGATAAGTTTATAGATTTTGGTAAGATTTTTTACTTTACTTTGTAAAAGCTGTTAGAACCGATGATCAAATTTTTAACAAAGACGACTTTATATGTAATTTGATGTGTAACTATATGTACTACTGCAGAGTGTCCCATGAAGTATGGCAGTTCTTAATATCTCCGGTAATTTTGAAAGCTTAAAAAAGACAGACCACCCTTTGGAAATGTCAGCCGACTGGGAGGTATTTCATGACTTTAAATTCAAGAACTTTACTTAATAATCTCGAAGAATGAATGCCGCACATTATTCAAAGCTCAAAGACGATTCAAAAGTAGTTTTTTAACTGTCATGTTCCGTGGGAAACCCTGTATCTGAAAAAAATACTCTTAGAGTTCTTTCAAAATTGTTGTAAAACTTTCATCTCCGTAAAGTAGAATAATAAATGTTATAAATACAAATTCTTCTTTTCACAACATTCATTTTCTGCAGGTGGTTACGGAAAACATTAAATATATTTTATACAGGGGAGTACAGAAAACTTTATATATATTTTATACAAGGGGTTCAGAAAGCATAAAATATATTTTATACAGGGGGTTCAGAAAACATAAAATATATTTTATACAGGGGGGTGCAGAAAACATTATATATATTTTATACAGGGGGTACAGAAAACATTAAATATATTTTATACAGGGGAGTACAGAAAACATTAAATACATTTTATACAGGGGAGTACAGAAAGCATTAAATATATTTTCTACAGGGGGGGGGGGGGTATACTAAACATTAAATATATTTTCTTCAGGGGGTCCAGACAACTTTAAATATATTTTCTACCGAAATTTAAATGAAAACGTATTTTATGAAAAAGAAAATCGCACTCAAAGCAGATCTCTGTAATATTTGGATTTTTATTGAGAAACAAATTGCATTTCAAAGTAGCAGATGTGTTCTTTAGATTTTGTCAGTTCTGATAATAAAGAGTTAATGACGACCTAAAGTTCCTTAATTTTTAACATTAGTCTTTGGTCTTTAGTATGGGCTTTTCAAGATGTGCTTTGGAAAGAATGCAAACAGCTTAAAGCTATGCAGAACCATCAATTAAAGAAATAAGGCTGGTAAGATTCTGTACAGTCGTCTCTGAAGTCTCATCCTTTGTGGCTTACCCTGTACCAACATAATAATATAAGCAATTGCCTGAAGGAGTTACGCGCTCGCCGCGTTGAATTACAAGACAGAGAAAGATTAGTATATATTTTAGCGAGTGCTCCCTTCTCAGCCACACTAACATTAGTCAATATACTAAAAAAAGCGTCGGTCTAAACTTTCAAATAATCAAATAAAAGGTTTTCTCTTCTCCTCCTTCTCAACCTTTCTTCTAACCTTATTAGTAAACTTTTCGGACCTTTAATTACAAAACTTTTTTTCTTTTCTTCAAACTTTTCCTTTTTAATTTTCACAATTTCCTCTCTTCTTCAACCAAGTGAACACAGTCTGAAGATTGTATATATTTGTATTGACCAATTAACAAATTTCAAGGAACTGTAGATGTAATTTCAGATCATCCTCCATTTGTTGAACGGTATATCTGATTCACAACGGTACCCTTGAAAGCTTTTCCTGTTTGAAAATTGTGAATTTTCAATTGTGGTTTCTCTATAAAAGTTTAAATCTTTTAAGAATTTTATCATGGTTTCCCTATACAAGAGTGACTTGCGCATTGCTTCTGCAGATACAATGAGAGGAAGTTATCAGAATTAAACAGTTTTCAAGCTAGAAAAATGACGATATTTTACACATTATTAATCAGTAAAATTTAAAGTGTATCGTTGTGAATCGGAAATACGGTTAATTTAAAGGGAGTGTTCTCGAAAATGAAAGGAGGTATAGGTTTACGTCGAAAATAATTTGATGGTGATCGCAACTAATCTTACTTAATTCTATATATGTTGCGTCTGTAAGGAGAAAATTGTTAAACACGACTGATACTGAAGAACGTAGCGGCCATACAAATTCAGAAAGTTGCAATATTTAACTCAGATTTGTTAAATAATTCAATTCAAACAAATCATTCAGATATTACAAGTTACAACGTGTAATCATTGAATTTTATTCCATGCATTGGTATACTATAGTCGATATTGCGTAATTTTTATAAAAACTTTTAAGTGCATTGCATATAACAGGTTAAAACGACGATTTTTTGTCCGCTATGTGTCTCTCCCACGTGGAACCACAGAATTAACGAGAGCATATACACTTGGCGGACAACTAATCGTCGTTTTTAACCATTTTATCCTACTACATAGAAGTAAGATTTATAGTAGCGATCACCATCGAATTCTTTTCGACGTAAGCCTATACCATCTTTCATTTTTCGCGAACACTCCCTTTAAGTTGACAGAATGCTATCCATATTAGATATTTAAATATGTTCGGTTGTGTTTAGAATTGTTTTGTCAATTTTCTAAATATAGATATATATTGAAATATTTTCATAAATACTGAGTGAGAGAAGAATAAAGAAAATCTGAACCTTCAATTTATTTTATTCTATTTATCTTTGTCAAAATATATTTTACAATGGATTCTTTAAAAACAAGAGCTGATATCTGATATTTGAATATATTGAAGGAGTCTAGACGAATGATGGGGGGGGGGGGGGACGAAATAAAAGTCGATGTCTAAAATTATGCTGAGATATTCTCCAAGGAGAGACTGGTATTTAAATCTGGAAAATATTGGAAAAGAAAATTATTTACATATTTTACATTTATGAACCGAGATTTCTTGAGAAAAAAATTCATTCATATAGACTTCAAAAGACTGAAATCTTCACTTTAACTTTGACAGGCAGTTTCCAGACAGAGCAGAATTTTCTCCTGACTCCTGACTCCTGACTGACTCGACTGACTCCTGACTCCTGACTCCTAAATCCCCTGACTCTTTACTGTAAATATTAAGAATATAACTTAGAGATATCCATATTTCCTCTAAAAGTTAGAAAGTTGTTTGAAAATTCTATAAAGGATTTGGATTTAAGTCAAATACAAGTTCTACTATAACCTTTTCAAATACAAAAATACATCTTTCTCTTTATAGATACTTTACTTTTATGTCTGTCTGGTTTTTTATGGCAACTCCAATGACCCCAGAGGCCGAATTTGAAGAATTTGAGCAGAGGCTTAAATTTAAGCCGCGGATGAAATATGGCTGGTTCCA